ATCTTCATTTTAAAAAAAAAAAGATTGAAATGAGCACTTGGAATTTGTTACCCTGGAACTTGCCCTACATTGCTGAGTCTAACCGCAAGGTGGAAAATCAAATGTGACACACGCTGAGTCAGAGAGGGGACTGCTTGGAGGGGAGGGAAGGGAGGCTGCGCCTTTCCTCCAGCGCCTTAGTAGCTCTGTGCACGTGACTTCTGTTCCGTCTTGCGATCTCACAAGACTGCAAAGGAGAGGAGTCCTCTGGGGTTGGGGAGGAGACTGTGAAAGCCTGGCTGCTGGGACGCATCCTCGGGGAGCCGCCGGAACTGTGCCCCGGACCCGCATAATGCTTCCTCTCTGTGCCTGTTGGCCACCTTAGCAGATGCTGTCTTCCTGTTTTGTTTTGTGTTTTTTTTTTTTTTTTTAAGATTTATTTATTTATTTGAAAGGTGGAGTTACTGAGAGGTAGAGAGAGAGAGAGAGGTCTTCCATCTGCTGGTTCTCTCCCCAAATGGCTGCGGTGGGCAGAGCTATGCCGATCTGAAGCCAGGAGCAGGAGCTTCTTCTGGGTCTCCCATGTGGGTGCAGGGGCCCAAGGACTTGGACCATCTTCTACTGCTTTCCCAGGCCATAACAGAGAGCTGGATTGGAAGTGGAGCAGCTGGGTCTCGAACCAGCGCCCATATGGGATGCCGGCACTGCAGACAGTGGCTTTATCTGCTATGTCACAGCACCAACCCCTGCATTCTTGTTGAAAGGCTGGCTGGCTGGGGCTGCTGTCACCAGCTGCTAAGTCAGTAAATACGGTCAAACACCTGCCTTGTGCCAGAATTGCACATTGGAAAGACAGACCACATCCACACCCTCACAGAGCTTACAAGTTAGAGGGGCAGAGATAACCACTGCACAAATAAATCTATGCAAAAATATCAGCTAATGGAAAATTAAAATAGGTTAATGTAACAAATGACTGCCTGGCTTTGCAGGCTAGGGACCTACGGACTGTAGATGGCCTCTATGGGGATGACTGAGCTGAAGGCCAAGAAGGAGCCAGCCTTGGAGAAACCAGGGCCAGGGGAAAAGCATTCCAGAAAGAGGGAAGCCGGGTGCGAAGGCTGCCAGGCAGGAGCAAGCCTGCGTGGATCTCAGTCCAGTGAGAAGGTGAGGACAGGTGTTTGGCCTACTGGGTTAGATACCTGGGTCCCATATTGGAGTACTTGGCTCTGTTGTGAATTCCAGCTTCCTGCTAATGCTCACCACCCTGGGAGGCAGCAGGGTAATGGCTCAAATTATTAAGGTCCTGCCACCAAGCAGGGAGACCTGGATAGAGTTCCCAGCTCCAGACTTAGACGCTGGGACCCAGAGTTGTGGGCATCTGGGGACTGAACTGGTGCATGGGAGCTGTCTCTTTGCTAAACTAAGAATGGCAACAGCTGCCGAGAACCAGGCAGGCTGGATCACATCAGGCCTGGGGTCTAATGCCACATACGTTGTGACACCTTTGAGCTTAAGCAGAAGAGTGACATGATTATTTTATATATGTAGAAGTTCACTCTGGCTACATTGTGAATGGGTTTTGGGAAGCAGACACAGAGACAGAGCAGTTAGTAGCCACAGAGCAAGCAGTCATCCAGCGGGAGATAAAGTTCGGGTGTCTGGACTGGGATAGCTGTAGTGGCCACAACAGAAGCAGAAGGATTCTGGGGCTGCGGGCAGGCTCAGCAGAACTTGCTGGATGAGGAGTGCATGGGAGGGGCTGACTGGAGGAGGGGCAGGACTGGGACATGTGTGTCCACCCATTCTTTGATGCTCCATCTATGGAAAGCTGGAGTTGATGTCCCCTTTCTTTGAATCTGGGTTCTGTGACTGCTTGCCACTGTTACAAGGCAGAAGTCGTGGCTGCCAGGTTCCACTCAAGACGCCGGCAGCTTCTACTTGGTCTCCTTGGGGTCCTCTCACTTAGAGCTCAGTCACCTTAGCTCGGGGAAGCCAGAGCAGTGTGTGGGAGGCCACGTTGGGAGGGACTGAGCCCTCCTCCCAGGGGCCAGGCTGAGCTCCCAGGAGACGGGAGCTAAACCTGCCAGCTAGGCGGGCCTCTGGGGCCACGCTGGAAGTGGATCATCCAGTCCACATTGAACTGCTCCAGCTGTGGCTTCCTGCAGCCCAAAACCCACAACCCAGTGAGAAAAAAGTAATGGTTATTGATTTAAGTTACCAAGTGTTTGGGTTACTTTTTTATTTGAAAGACACACACGGGGGGGGGGGGGGGGGAATGCTCTCCTCCACTGGTTCACACCCCAACAGCCAGGGTTGGGCTAGGCCGTATCCAGGAACCAAAACTCATCTGGGTCTCCACATGGGTAGCAGGGACCCAACAGCTTGAGCTTCCATCTGCGGCCTCTGCACACTAGCAGGAAGCCAGAATAGAGAGAAACGCAGGCGGCCCAAGGGGCAGCTGAACCCCCGGCCAATGCCTGCCCTGGGGGGAGTGCTTATGCAGTATATGACACTGGAAAAGGGGAGGGGACTTTTGGCCATTCTAGATTCAAAGTGAAGAGTTCAAATAGGCAATTGATTATATGAAGCTCCGGGGAAGGTGAGTGCTGGAATATAAATTCTAATGACACAGGATACAGAAATGAGACTTTTCCCAAGTGAAGGCCACCTGGAAAAGTACACTAGTGCCCCTTATCCACAGTTCCCATGGCTCTGGTTACTCCGTCAACCGTAGTTCTAATTAAATGGAAAACTCCAGAAGTAAGTATTAGTGTTTTAAATAACTTACTATAGCATATTGTTATTATTATTGTTAATCTCTTACTGTGACTAATTTTTTTCCAAAAGAAATCTTTTATTTAAGGAATACAAACTTCATGCATTTCCTAAGTACAACTTTAGGAATATAGTGATTCTTCCCACCATATCTGCCCTCCCATCCACACTCCCCCCACTCCTCTTCCCATTCCCAGTCCCATTCTCCACTAAGATCCATTTTCAATCGACTTTATACACAGAAGCCCAACTCTATACTAAGTAAACAGTTCAACAATTTCTGTGCCTAATTTGTAAATTAAACTTTAGCACAGGTATATGTAAGAAAAAACCCAGTATGGGGCACCTGCTAACTGTCTTGGAACACATTCCTGTGGCTGCTTCCCATATCTCCTGTATGTGGGGAAAAGACCACCAGGGGTCTCTGAGTTCTGGGATTCCCTGTGTGCACACAGGAACAGGATTCGGAGGAGCTGCGAGCTGAGCTCCCTGTTCCCCCGGACAGCCGGGCCTGTGGGAGGACGCGGAGTGGGAGCAGAAGCCGGAGCCCGCTCGGGTCCTTCCTCCCAGCTGCAGACATTGTTCTGCAGCCGCGCGCTGCCGCGCTGCCTCTGTGGGTTTAGCAATGCTTCCCTTGAGTTTCAAGGCTAATAAAAGAGTGCTTGCCTTTGCGCACCAGCACCCTGGAAAATTGCTTCCGCTGAGTCATTCTCCGCGCTGGTAACTGCGGCGTGTGTAGGCACTCAGTGGATGAAGGCATGCAGGTGACTTTCCAATGTCATGTGGCAACGTGGGAAAGGCGGTGCTGCGGGACTCCCTCGCCCAGTGGCAGGTCTCGGGCTGGAAGAGGTGGCAAGACTGTTGGGTGCCGCGGCCCATCGCGGCTGGAACCCCCAGGGGTCCCAGGCCAGGCCCAGCTGCAATCTTCCCAACCCAGAAGAAATGCCTGTTACGGGGCTGTCAGCGGCTCTGTGGCCTTTCGCACAGCACGATGGGCCCTGAGAGCCTTCCCAGGTCTCTGCTGTTTCTAGCCAGCATTTAGGCAGTAAAGGAGTAGCTGAGGCTGGAGGAAAAGCTGGTTCTCATCAAGTCAACGGAGGCAGGTTACACACAGGCCTCCTGCAAGGCACGGCTGCCTCCGAACCCAGGTCCTGGGAGCGGCCGGGAGCGATCCAGCCACAGGAAATGAGAGGCTTCTGTTCTGCAGCCTCCGTTCTGTGACTCTCTCCTCCAGAGCTGCTGAGCCTGGCTCAGAGGTGTGCTCCCATCTGTGGTACCCTGCCTCCTCCCTTCAGGCGGTCCTGACCAGCCTGTGGGAGACCATTTTCAGGGGGCTGCCGGCCCAGCACGGTGCTACTGTGACAGGTACCAGTGATGACAGCCACAGCTCGTGACTACTCAGCAGGGACCACTTTCCGGAAATCACAGGAGGAACAAAACATTTAGAAAATGAAACCCCTCTAAATCGCAGGCAGGTTTCTCTAGGTGAATAAGATAAATACAAATTAAGCCCACCTACAACAGTGATAGCAACTCAGTGGTGCTTGGTTTTCAGGGTATTATAAGGGGACACAGCTACCTAGTACCCTAGGTACTGGGAACTCCTTGGTGTGCGGTTCATTCACTTCTGCAATGTTTGTTTACTAGTAGTAGGGCCTACTGATTGCTAGGCATTGCAGAAGCCGGGGACACTGCAGTGCGAAAAAGGGAGCCCTTGCCCTTGCGGAATTTAGATTACTGTGGAGGAAGACAGACAACAACCCAGTGAGCAGACACTGAGAGTAGCAGTAAGTAGTGGAGAAAATGAAGAAGAGCTGAATGATCACTAATGAGAAGGTGGTAGGAGAGAGCCGCTGTTCTGGACGGGGTGAGCTCATGACCGGAGTCATGAACCCTGGCCCCTCCCAGGGCATCGGCTCCTCAAGCCAAGCCTGGCAGCGCTGGCCCTGGCCAACTCCTTTGCCCACCCAGCAAGAATTTAGCATTTCCTCCCACACTGGGCTGACCAAAGCTCCAAGCTGTGAACAAGCCATTCTGCAATTACTAGAACAGGCGCCACCCAGTGGTTGTAAAGTCGAGTTGATCCTTGTTTCAGTCCCTGTTTTCTGCTTTGGAGTTTAAACACCCATAATTCAAGAAAAAAACGCTTCCAGTGGGCCTCAGGGAGTAGAGCTGGTGTTGGACAACTGATTGGTTGCATGTTGCTTTATATGGCCCCCAGAGTGAATGTGTTTAGATCTTTTCCTCTCCTCTGCCTTGCAACTGGTGAATGATCAGTGGGAAGTTCACTGATTTAAGTCATTTCAAACCCTCAACGATGCTCTAAATCACACAAACACACACACACATACATATTTACATACACACAGAATATTCACTCATTGTCATGGTCTAGACACCAGGGGAGGCTGGATATATATATACAGCCAAGATAGGGGGAAAACAATAAAGGGTAAGGGGAGAAATCAACCCCCAAGCTGAAGTCTTGTTGGGACACACAGTCCGAGGGGCTACCACATCCCCTGGCCTCGGGTTATTCTCTGACCCTACGTGCTATGCTAAGACTGATGGGGACCAGCGGTGTGGCGTAGCAGTGGGTAAAGCTGCCACCTGGGGGGCTGGCATTCCATATGGGCACTGGTTCAAGTCCTGGCTACTCCACTTCTGATCCCGCTCCCTGCTTATACACCTGGGAAAGCAATAGAAGACAGCCCAAGTCCTTGGGTCCCTGCATCCACGTGGGATCCCAGAGAAACTTCTGGCTCCTGGCTTTGGCCTGGCCCAACCTTGGCCATTGCAGCCATTTGGGAAGTGAACCAGCAGATGGATAACTCTGTTGCTCTCTTCTGTCTCTCCCTCTCTCTCTCTGTAGCTCTGCCTTTCAAATAAATCTTTAAGAAAAAAAAAAAAAAAGACTGAAGGCTCCCTGTAAGGCATGGGTGTCTTTTCCCTACAGAATGCTAAGTGTGGAAATACAAACCTCCCTCATGTTTGAGCTTTGGTGCAGGCCTTGCCTTACACATGACTTGCTGTTGAAAATAACTTAATAGCTGCTGGGCAGGAACTGGAACTGTTGCCTCGGGGAGGACAGATTGTGGTCATGTGTGACACAACCACGCACAGCAGGAGAGCTTGGCAGTGAGCAGTGCGAGCTCATGCTCACCCAGCCAGGCCCGTGCTCACCCTCTGAGGCCTCGGGGTCACCCACGGCGTGGGCCACAAGTTCATCCCCATCACAGGGTGCCAACCCACCCTTGTGAATGCTATACCTAGTGTGGCGTAAGACTGTGGACAATGTAACAAGACGGCAAAGCAGGAATACAAGGAGACTTAGGGAAGCACATGGAAAAGAGGGATTAGAAGAGTGTTTTGGTGCAGTGGAAAATGCATATTATGAAAAAGCTTTATTTATTTACTTGAGAGGCAGAGTTACAGACAGAGGTAGAGACAGATAGAGAGGTCTTCCATCCTCTGGTTCACTCCCCAGATGGCCACAACAGCCAGAGCTGCGCCGATCCGAAGCCAGGAGCCAGGAGCTTCTTCTGGGTCTCCCACGTGGGTGCAGGGGCCCAAGCACTTGGGCCATCCTCTACTGCCTTCCCAGGCCATAGCAGGGAGCTGGATCGGAAGTGGAGCAGCTGGGACTCAATCCGGTGCCCATTTGGGATGCCGGCACTGCAGGCAGATGCTTAACCTACTACACCACAGTGCCGGCCTGTTCACAAATTTTTTGAGGTGCCCATGTGTTGGCCTGGAACCGGATGTCACCTCCAGACTCCTTGACTTTAGGAAGGTGGTGTTCAGCAGTCCCCTCAGTGCCGGAGCTGGAGTACCACATAACACAGGCTCACGAGGCTTGGCGAACCTGCACTCAGGGCTCCCCATGAGGAAGTGGGTGACTCGAGCCGCAGCCCTGGCCCAGCGTGCCCCTCGCAGCGTCTGAACGTGGTTTTTCTGAGAACGCCGTCTCTCTGATAACTGCAGGGACAGGCACCTTCTCTAAGACTCACGGTGCATCATGCTCATTTTCTCCAGCTCCTTTTCTGTCCTCCTAGTCTCCGCAGTTGTGTCCCAGTTCTGCCACTTCTCACCTGTGTGACCATGAACAAGTTACTTAACTTCTCTGTGCCTCGGCTTCCTCATAGGCTGAATGAAGAGTGACAACACCTACCAGAGAGGGCGCTCGTGAGAACTGAGTGCCTGCAAGGGGAACTCTGGGCACCCTGCCTGGTACAGTAAGGGCTCAGAGGGTGTTAACTCGCTGTCACCACCATTACGGCTTTCCGCTTCTTGAGACTTGAATGTCAAGGCAGAAACATGTTGTTTAGCAAGGCTCAGACTTCGACGGCTTCCCCGGTTTCCCTGGCACAGACAGTCCATTAGGAGCGAGTTCTCTCCTGGAATGTTCCAGCAACACAGAGGTTCCTGAAGCAGGCAGCAAAGGCCACAGTGCCCGGCCTGTGTTCTCACACCAGAGCTCCCACAGCCCCCACCTCCTGAGCTGGGAAGGAAGCGAGGTCTTCCCAGTCTCCTAAGATGTCTCCAAGGACGGCGCACACACACAGGCCTGTCAGTCCTTCATCTTCACTTATTTCAAACCCCAAGGCCCCCGGTGCGGGAGGATGGCAATCCTAAAATGGTCCAGAAAAAAAGAAAGGGGTGTGTGTGTGTGTATGTTGGGGGGAATAAATGATACAGCAAACACAGTAAAATGCTAGTACAGGTAACCTGGGTAAAGGATATACAGGTATTCTTTGTTCTCTTTTTGTGTTTGCGATTTGTTATAAATTTGCAATGGTTTCCAAATAAAGAGCTATAAAATAATCAGGAATGACGTTGCTCTCTGGGAATACACAGCTGTTTGGAAACAGATCAGAGTGGCTGCTAAGGGCATAACTGTGAGTGTGTGTGTGTGTGTGTGTGTGACGTGTGCTGGCGTGGGAGTCCACACACATCCCACGGGGGGCGTCCCTCTCTGCTGCCATTTGCCGCCTGACTCTGTGACCCGCCCAGCAGGGGCCACGCACCTGCCCCAGCCACACCAAGCTGCACGCTTAGTTGCTCTGAGGGCAGCTCTGGGCGCTGCTGAGGTAGACAGCGGGCCCCAGCGTGAGTGTCCACGCCCGGTGACAGAGTGCGCGGGTCACTCCGGGGCTGCCACCCACAGACCTCTCCTTTCCCCACAGCAGCTTGCTCCCCTGGTCTCAGGGCCCCTCTTCCTCCAGGCTCTCTACCAACGTCAGAGGGAGGGAAACGAGAGCACGAGCCATGGTTTTTGAGGGCCCGCGTTGTGTGGGGTGCTGTTTCTCATGTTATCTTATGTAAGCCACAGAGCCCTGCCACGTGGGTAAACTGAGGTGCAGAGAGCGTCAGCAGCTTGGCCAAGTCAGGGACAGAGCTGGATTCAAGGACAAACCTCGTCTCCTCCCTCCCCAGCTTCCTCCGGACGCTCCTGCCTCAGAATGCTTTCCCATTCCTCTTTTGCTGTCGGACACGAGGTCAAAGCTTGCCCTCATCCCAGGAAGTGGAGCTAAACCACTGCTGACAGTGATGGCGCCAAAGACCCAGCCAGCTTTGGGAAGCAGCAGCAGGGCTGCCACCCGCCCCACCGTTGGAGGCCTCGGTGGGGCTGGGAACCACGGCTCCTCGCTCTGCTTGGATCTGCCAGAGCAGACACAGCCCTGAGGGCTGGGCACCGTGCAGCCAGAAAGCCTGGCACACATCTGGCACCTGCAGTGGACAACTGTCTGAAGGATCTTCCTGCCAAAGGGAGTCGAGGGAGTAGGGACGCTGGAGGAGCAAGAGGGCTCTGTAGCTATAAGGAAGGGGGCAGTGAGCGAAGAAGGCCTGGGGAGTGGCCGTCTAACTTCCAGGGTATGGCCAGGGCAAAAGGCCTTGGTGGGGAAGGAGAGGGGAAGATAGCCTTGTGGCAGCCTCTCCCTCCCACTGCCCCCTGTTATGCTCTGTCTTTTTTACTCTTCTGGCCTCCTAGCCTCACAGCCCAATCCTAAAGGTCTCTGTGGTAGCTGAAGACCCAAAGGAGTGTTGTTGGGAGAACAGGCTATAAACCTGGAGCTGCTGACAGCCAGCAGACAGAGCGAGCCTGCCCACAGGGCATCCATGCTGACCCACTGTGACAATGTCATTTGAGTTCCTGGATCCAGCTGTGCCTGGAGCCCCTACACTTCTAAATTAAGCAGACCAAAATTTTGCATTTTCACTTAAAGAATTTCCAGTAGGGTTTCTGTCACTCCTAGGCAGAGTAACATGAACAAACTCCTAACAGAGAAGGCACTGGCTTGTCTAGTATGGTTTTCAAGCACAGATGCTCTACAACAGCCAAGGTGGGATGCAGAGAACTTCAGCAAGGAGCCACTTGACACGGTAAATCCAGGATTAAATCCAGGATCCAGAGACATCAGGGAGAGGGAGAAAGCTGGCCAGCCCCTGCCTCAGGAGGCCTAAGCCGCAGCGAACACGAAGATGCCCACATCCTAGCTGTCTGGAAGGGAGACTTGGAGAAGCCCAGGCTGAGCCCACTCTGAGGGCACAGCAACCTGCAGGTTTTCCCGAGGCTGTCCCAGATAAGGAGCCCATGCTGCAGGCACCCACACAGTGCACTCTGGGTATGACTCCGTGTAATCCTCACAGCAGTCCTGAGGTAGAGATGTCACTTGTACTGTTTTCTAGACAAGGAACTGACAGCTCACAGTGCTGAAGGGACTTACTAGCTACGTGGCTACTAAGTGGCACAGCAGGGATTCAAGCCTTGTGTACTGGACTCCAGAGCCTGTGCATTTAATACATCTATTATGTTTCCTCCAAGAAGGATCACTGGGACAGGGGAGGTCGGTCAGACAGAGAATGAATAATAATCTTTTCTGTTGGTGTAGCCCTTCAGAGTTTACAAAGCCCAGTCGTATATACAGTCTCACTGCACCCATTTTACAGATGTGAAAACTGAGGCACAATGCAACTTGCTCAAGGTCATTTGGGTGAACTGGATAAACCACCCTGGGTGACCCTCTTTGAACAGGGCAGCTAGCTGCAGTCTGCAGAAACTCAGTGTGTGTGTGGTTGGGGGGGGGGGCGCACCACACTGTCCCATGCTTAGGGGCGGCGATGGTACCAGTCTGGTAGAAGGTGTCTGACAGGTGAGGGAACCAGCTGGTATTCTGGCCACAGATCCAATTGCAGAACACAAACCCCACTGCAGTAAAGGGCTCTGAATTCACAAAAAGAATCCCAGTGCCAGGCAGGCCCCGTTTGATTTTTCAGCAACACTTGATATGGCCAAATTCCAGTTCAGCCAGACAGACTCCGCGTCCTGGTGTTCCCAGAGGGATCTAGCTGTGCAAAGAGCCCCTTTCTTCTGTTGGGACATCCTCAGCCAGAAGAATGAATGGGAGCCGCCCGGGGAATGGGCATTTCAGCTACTCCTTCCCAGAGCCTCCAGCTGCCTGGCTTCCTCCCTGCGGAAAGTAGCTGTCCCAGCCCAAGCCCCAGGGGCCTGCACTGCTGGGCCTGTCCTGACGCTCTGCCAAGTTCAGAGCACTTGTCCTTGAGAGACAAGGCAAAACTGTCTTTCACCGTCCCCTTAGCGGCCCATGCCTGGAGGAGTGACCAGGCAGGGATCCAGGCAAGAGGCCAGGGAGCCACATTTGTTCACTGCTGGAAGCGCCAGGAGACTGGAAGGTGAGCAGCAATCCCACCGCCTCCCGGGGCCCCTGCCCTCCGTGTGGGGGGGAGAGCACAGGGTGGGGAGCAGAGAGGAATCCAGCCCTGGGGTGTCCTTGAAGCCAGAAGCGAGAGCTGCAGGGTTTCCCACCAGCAGTCTGTGCCCTCTGAAACTGGGGCACTGCCGAAGGCAGAATACAGGAAAAGAAGCAGGTGCGTGAGGTTCAGGCCAGCCCTTTCCGGCTGTGGGAAACCCACAGATTCCAGGAGCAGACCCTAGCTCTGCCTCTTGACTTCCTCGGGCACAGCCTTAATTTCTTGCTGTGCTTATACTAGTATTTATAGAGAAGCTTCTACATATTAGGGATTCAACGGTGAGCATAAAAGGGTCTCAGTCAACCTTCTTGGGCTTTGTAATCAGTGAAGGGGACAAATGGCCAGTGCCCCTCCACCAGAGTGAAATGTCTAGGACAAGTAGGGAGAACGGACCCATTCTGGAAGCTCAGAGAAGACTTGCCTGAAGAAATGATGGCGGAGCTGAGGTCTGGAAGAGGGTAGGTGGGGGCACTCCATGCAGAGGAAGCAGGGTATGCAAGGGCAGGCCATTTGGCCAGAGGGACCACGGCTCGCCCAGGGAACTAGAAGGCTCATGAGGCTAAGTACAGAGAGGAGGGGTAGGTGAGGCCACATCAAGCAAGAACGCGGGTCTTTCTCACCGTGGCCACCGAAGCCTTTGGAGGTGGTTGCTTGAGATGACTCTGGCAGAGAACAGGAGCCAAGCCCAGCCAGGGAGTCCTCAGGAAGCCCTCGAGCAGGTCTCAGCCATTCACCTGTAGACATGATAATGATAACAGTTCCTTCCTGAGCTGTCACCAGACAGAGAGCAGAGAGCAGAGAGCAGAGGCTCCGAGCGTGTCCTCTGGTCCTCCTCGGAGTGCAGATCTCTCTGGCTCAAGCTGCTCCTGTGACGCGGGGTGGAGAGGGTACTTGCCATGTGTCCCCCAGGTGGAAACGTACCCTGGCTTGTATCCAGTCACAACGATGAGGTCAGAACCCATAAGAATGGCTTGAAAGTATGAGATCGATTCACGAAGAAATACGGGGGTCCAAATGCTCCCACAAGGATGCCGGGGAGACCGGTGGCAGACCCTCCGGAAGGTACGCCCTAGCGCTGGCTGAGAAACACTAGTGCTTCTCTGTGGATGCTCCCGGGAGGTGCAGGGCTCCGATCGCGTGCGTTCCGTGGAGGCGGGGACCCTCCCCAACACTGGGCCTCGCAGGGGTCCTGCTGAGGGCACAGGGTGTCAGGAAGAGGAGGGTCCCGAGAAAGCCGGCTCCAGCCAGTCCACACGAGCTGCCCTCTCTCCAGTCACGTGGTCCAGTGGGAGGGGACCGATCTGAAGTTGAAGAAATCCGAGCCCTCCCACCTTCGGAGCTTGCCGCTGGCCTTCCCGTGCCCTGGGCAGAGGGCGCCGGGAGCCCGGGAGGGGACGCGAAGGCCGAGGAGAGCCGCGGCGAGCGCGGCGGGGCGCCAGCATGGCCCAGCTGTCCGTGGTCCCCGGGTCCGCCACAGTGTGGACAGGTGAGCGGGGGACCCCGGGGGGGGGGCGGTTAGCGTGGGAGAGGCTGCTCGCACCTTGGGTCCCACAGCCTGACCCCGTTCAGGTGATGCGGGGCACCCACCCGGAAAGGGGCGGTTGGGTGGCGCTTAGCACCTCAGGCAGCCTGAGCCGTCCCCTTCTAGCTCGCTTGACTCCGGGGCCGGCCGGCTCGGGACCCGACAAGCGGACGCTGGACTCCGGACAAGGCGGCGCGCCGGGCGGGGGCGCTGTGCCGGCTCCGCCCCTCCGGCGCGCGCACTGGCTGCTCCCCGTGACGTCACGCTCGGCTACAAAAGGCGCGGCGCGCGGCTCTCGCCTGCGCTGGACGGAGCTCGAGGCTGAGGGCGCGGGGATCCGAGCGCGCCGGGGCCCCAGGGCCGCGGCGCCTCAACGATGTTTTACTCAGGGCTCCTCACCGAGGGTGGCCGCAAGGAGACCGACATGCGGGAGGCGGCGCCGCTGCGACAGCAGCGCCGGATGAAGCAGGCGGTGCAGTTCATCCACAAGGACTCGGCCGACCTGCTGCCGCTGGACGGCCTGAAGAAGCTGGGCTCGTCTAAGGACACGGTGAGCCCCCGCGGCCGCGCCCGCCTCGGGACCCCCGCTGCTGCCGTCCGCCGCGCGCCGTGCGGCCTCCCGGGTCCGAGCCTTGCCGCTTTCACTGAGTCAGCGGCCCGGCCCGCCGCTGCCCGCCGCCCCGGTGTCGCCCGGTCACGGCTCCTCTGCGTCCCGCACCCCCTGCTTGGGTCTCCCTCGGATCTCGTCGTGGTTTTCTTGGCTTACCCTAGCTCCCGCACCGCCTCTGCCCTGCCTGTCTCGCTCGGGTTGGAAAGGAGACCTTACCCTGCCCTCTTGCCCTCGGCTCTCCTTTCTTCCGATTTATTCTTAGCGCCTAATTGGGTTCCTCGCCGCAGACAGAGGCAGCTCCCCTCACCCAGACAGAGGCGACTCGTTATGGGCGTCTGAGGACGGGAGAGAAGTGGAAAGGGAGGCTTCACCTCCAGATGAGTGCGTGTTTGTTGGGTCTGTTGTCTCCCTATGCAAAATCTACTGTCTGGTTTTGGTCTGTCTGCCCTTGACCTTCCATTCTAAGCGAGGAGAAAGGAAAGGACGGATGAGGAGGTTTCCTGACTTCCAAACACCTCTTCAACACCCTCTTCTCTCCTCCGCCAGCCCCACCCGCAAGGAGCAGGGAGAGGGGAGGAAGCCGGGCTACTCCGTCTGCCTGACCAGCTAGGAGTTGGCGTTGGCGCTGGGGCTGGTGCAGTCTTGTTTTTTCTAGCATAATGGTTCTTAGCTTTAATTAGGAAGAACCCAGGACTTGGAGGGCCTGGATTCGAAGACCATACTGTCCTCTGCTATGGAATGCTCGGGAGAGATGCCCAAGGGCTACCAGAATAAAGACCTGTATCCGACTCGCATCTTTCTAGTCGCTGAAGTGGAGCTGGGCCAAATTGAAGTCCAGCATTGTAGTTAGATCTGGAGTTTCCTTGTGCTTTGATTGTTTTCTTGAATTTCACAGTCGCTTTATTCATCTGGGCAGCAATATATGAAACATTAATTACATGTCTTTTACAATTGAAATAAATGCTCTGCACACTTTTTCTAGTATTTTTTATTTAGAGCTTTTGGAATGTTTGATTTGGATATGGTTCACTGAAATTGCCATCCTGTCATCAGGATGTCCATTTTTTTTTTTGATAGTTCCAATGGCATAGATACTAATATCAGATTTCCCCTCCCTGACATTACTTACACATGTGGGGGAGATAACTACTCCAGTTATCTTATTATGATTTTAAAAAATTACTTTTTTCTGCATAAGTCATAGTATAGTAGATCTGATTCATGCTACCCCACAGTGATGAGTAATTGAAATGTATTCCTACAAAAGAGATGACTTTCTTTTCTCTCACTTTAAAGCAGTCCAAAGTCACTTGGAAAATCAGATCAAGTCTTCCCTTCTGTCCAAAATAATCCTATTTCCCGGGGTCTCAGGAATCAATAAAGAGGGAAGTATTAGGAGAATAATTAAAATGTGAACTTTTTTCATGCTAGATTTAAGATAGGGGCATTTGGTTGTCCTGGGTTGTTTAGGTGTTCCCTGGCCCTGAAGAGCTACTTCTCTATCCTTCTGCTTAGATACTTCAGGGGAGTTTATGCTGTGTAAGAATTCCATCTGCTTTTCTGATCCCAGTCTGTCTCAGCTGAGCCACCAGGCTCTGATAGCATGGAGCGCAGGAGCAGTCTTCAGAAAGGAAGCATCTTCCAGATGTGGGCTATCCCCATGAGAGTGACACACAGTAGTTGATTGTGAAAGACTGAACCCTGGTTTGCACTTTCTGTACCTCATTGGCATGGAGTTGATTTCCCTCTCTCACTGAGCCAGAATAGGTCACAGAAACCAAGGCAGACGGAGGTAGGGCTGGGAGAAGTACGAATGCTGGCGTGACGTAGTATGCTTTAAGCTCTCTTACAGCGGATGTTGCAGCCTCAGTGCAATCTTAGAAATGACCTTGGAAGTACATTCTTAGCACTTCACTTTGTAAATCCATCTGGTATGATAGAGTAGTGTTGAATCCATTTTGTCTCACTAGAAGGGAAATTTAGAGGATGCTAAAATTGAGTAACTCCAAGTAGTTTATAGTACAGTCTCAATAGAAGGGGGACAAGAAAAGAGAGGGGATGGGGGGAGAATAAGTTACTTTTAATTGACTCCTGGGGGCTGAGCCAATATGAAGCCCTGGGTTGTTTTTCCTCATACTAGTAGCCTGTATTTGAATTATACTGTTGCGTTTTCTGAATCAACTGCCTCATGCCATTCTGTTTCTACCATGTTCCCTGCTTGATGCCAGCCTGTCGGTCCTTTTTAGATGGGCAGGGGGCACTGGTAAGCAATCCAAGGTAGTCGTGTTCTCTTGGCCATTGTAAAGCACTTTTGCCCTATTCCCGTGTGTATAGAGTTGACTGCACAAAGTTTGGTGTAGAAATTAACCTTATTTTGTATAGCTGCCTCTCTTACTGTGTTTATCCTTTCATCTTATGTTTATGTTTATTCTATAAGATTAAGAACTTAACCAGAAATATGAGTAATATTGTATTTGATTTATTATTTTGTTAAACATGATGAAGCTGGAGAAAAATATCTCCATTCTTGGATTTTTCTTGTGGTAATTTCTGTTGTTTTAGTTACCAAGCTTATAAAAATTCTTCTCATTGTACTAAGAACTTTTCAGTTTTTAAAAAGTCTTGTCATGTGATTGTTTGCTGCATGATGTTATTGCTGACCTATATGCATCAGAACATACCCTTATTGTTTTGGCAGTAGAGAGTATTTTTCTTGACTACCTATGATTGGTTCTGCTTTATAACCAAATGCTTTAGCAAAACTGACTAGAATAGGAATGAAGGCCTGGCTGGGAGAAGGATGGAAGAACGCAGTGTAGCAAACTGACCATCAAATACTTGTTCAGAATCTGTCAATCAGAGCAGCCTTGTCCATTATAGGTCCCCTATAGATGAACTATTATGCCACAAGACAGCCATAATGCTACTAGTCTTGGGCTGGAGAACTTTGAAACCTTAGAAGATCATGAAATACCAGAATCTGGCACAAAGTGAAGAGTTCCAAAGCCGTGATTGCATCCTAGTTACAGCAAACATTTTCTGAACGCTTGCTCTGTTCAAGACATACAGCAAGGACTAGGTGCTAGGACCACAAGGATGAACTTACATAACTTCCATAAGGGATGTATAGGTTATCAGGAAGGATAGGACAGATTAATTTGTTACACAGATATTTATAGAGCATCTACTAGATATCAGACACTAGTCTAAGCACTGGAGAGACAATAGCAAACCATACCTGCTTTCACGGAACTTGTAGTCTTATGAGAGGAAGAGGTAGAAAAATAAAAGCAAGTAAATATATAATATATCAAGTAATAATCAGTGCTATGGAGAAAATAAATCAGGGTAAAGGGAATAGGGAGGGCAGTGCTGGGTGGGCTGGAACCTTGCTGTTTGAACAGAGCAGTCTGGGAAGGCTCCTCAGAGGAGATTACCTTTGAGGAGTCACTGAAGGAAACGAGGGAGCAAAGTATGCTGGGCTTGGAGTGTTCTGGACAGCAGGAAAAGCAAATGGAAGGGCCCGAGGTATCAGTGTGCTTGACCTGCTTAAAGAGCAGCAGAAGGCCAGTATGGCTAGAGCGAAGGGACAGGGTCGCTGGAAATAACATCAGAGACATACGGGGGCCCAGACTACTTAGGGATTTATAGGCCTCTGTTCAGACATTTGGCTTTCAATTTGAGATCCATGGGAAACCAGTGGAAGATTTTGAACAGGGCAGTGTTGTGACATTACTCACTTTAGAAAAATATTACTCAGGCTATTGTGTAGATTAGACTTGTAGAGGGAGACTGAATAGGAGGCTGTTGCACAGTAATCCAGATGAGAGATGATGGTGCTGAGAGCAGTGTGATAGCTGTGAGTGGGACAAGAAAAGATCAAGTTCTGGGTATATTTTGAAGTCAAAGCTGACAAAGTTAGTTGATGGCTTGAATGAAAAGTCTAAAATAAAAAGTAGTCAAGCATGACCTCAAGAGTTTTGACCTAACTATTGGAAGATTAGAGTTATCATTTACTGGAGTGGTGAAGGCTACAGAAGGAGCAGGTTGGAGCTAGAGAGAGAATAAGAATCAGGAGTTTTATTTTTGAACAAGGTAAGTTTGAAATCTCTATTAGTTATTCAAATGTAGCTCTTGAATAGACAGTTTCCTTGAGTAAATAAGTACCAACACCAGGCAGCCTTCCTAGTTGCCAAATGTTACAGTCAATAAGTGCTTGAGGAGTTCAGTGGAAGAAGTGATTAGATGTGATAATGGGGATGGACCAGTGATTGATTACATCATGATCCCTCCCTGTGAGCCAGCTGAGTGTAAGATGCCTTGTAGGTAGGCTGCCTCAGGGTGTGCTCTGTAGAACCTCGGAGTAAGAAGACTTTTGTCTTTCTGGCCCAATTCCTCAATCCATGTGTGAATCCTTTTTAACACAACTTCATTCTCCATGGAAAGGTGACAAACCACCATCTCAGACCAATCCACTGTTAGAGTCCGAAAATGCCCACCGCCCAAGGAACGTCTCCAAAAGACCTCTCTCATGCAAATTGCAAAGGTTTTTTTTTATTTTTTTATTTTTCCAGCATGCTGGGGCTCTCTGATCAGACCAGAACAGAGCAACCCCGAGGAACTAAAGTATAGGGTTTATAAAGGCAAAAACCGCAAGATCAGGAGGGGGGGAGATACACGGTTGCTATACACAGTTGCTAAGATCAAAAAGAGAGTACATAAAATCAAAAGAGAGTACATAGTTACTGGGGTCAACATAACCTAAGACCTAGGTGAAATTAATATCCATCATAATCTTGACAATACCAGTTACAATCGTACAATTATCATTTATGATCTTGACATTAATCCAAATTATATGTAAGACATAGACAAATCACATCTTTATTATTAACCCAGGTACAACCTTTCTACTTTCAAGCTTGAGCAATCATGCTAGG